TGTGTACCAACTGGAAAGAAATATAATTATCTCTAACATACATGCTTTTATTTAGCAAAAATTTCACTTGGACTTTTTAAAATAAATTATATATACATATATATATATATATATATATATATATATATGCACAGATAAATGCCTTGATGGATATTGTAAATTTTCATTCATATGATAGAAAATTGAAAAACATAAATTAAGTGGTTTCTTATAATAATGATCATCTCAGTTCCACAAAATTTAAATTAAATCACAATAAAGCTTAACTATGTAATTGTATCAAATGGGAAGAGATACTTATACTTTGCATTCACAAATGAATTATTTTCAGGAAATAATTTCCTATATATTATTTAATAGCAGTTACTTATGAGCTAAGGGGATATGCAAAGGGAACCTAAAATGGAAGGTTCTTCTAAGACTCAGAGAAAAAATCACCTTAACAGCCCTTATTAGGATCAAAATGGCCCAGTAAGGTCATTATATTTTTGAGTCACCTACCCTAAAGTGGGTTAACAGCAGTTCCTGAAACTATAGATCTTTACTTAATAAAGATCCAAGCCTGTAAGTCATACTCTGGGAGTCAGGTGGACCCAATAATATTTTGTACTTTGTAAATCTGTATGCCTATACTAGACTCATGACTTAACCATAATGTCAGCTCCATGGTCTGGTCCTAGGGAGAGATTTAACGCTCCAAGCCCCTTCCATCCCACTAAAAACTGGCACCAGGGTAAAAATAGTTGTTCTCATTAACTCTCTAGAGATGACCCACTTTCAGTCTATTGAAAGTGTATTCCTTTACTAATGAACTTTCTATCACTTTCACTACTTTTTAATGTCTTGCCTGAACTTGGATTCTTCTCTGTAAGTACTGAGGTGGACAGCAGTGCTGACTTTTTGGTAACATTTTTGATCCACTTTCAGTAGCATATATCATGTCTGTCTGTCTGTGTGTGTGTGTGTGTGTGTGTATTTATTTGTTTAGTTTCAGACAGGCTCTTACCTAGTAACCCAGACTCAATTCCTGCTCACTTTGTAGCCAAAGCTGGGCTTGAACTCTGGATCTTTCTACCTCAGCCTCTTATATTTTGTTTAGTTTAATTCTAGTTATAAATTTGTTTGCCATACTTGGAGTTAAAAAAACACAAAGTTTGTACACAAACCATCACTCTGTTTATAATCATAGAACACTAATGTTTGTGTTTTATTATAATACAACCAAAATATACATTTAACAGGTTTCAATTATCTTATACTATAAGAGTACATTTCTTTTAAAATAACAAAACTATAATTTAAAATTAAATGCTACCCACTGTCAATACTAGGATTAAATTACATGATTAACTATTACTTCTATGGAATTTTGCCCTTTCCCCAAAAATTATCTGCCTCAAACTTTTCATAAATACTTTACACTAAAAAATATTTAAATGAGAGGTATAAGTCACATGCATGTTCCTGTTTTTGTATTTTCCATGTGTAAAACTGGAAATTTTAGACTTTATTTTTTTAAATTTCATGGATAAGATGAATTACTTAAATATTGTGATCATTTACTAAGAGAAAAAATATCTTCCTATAAAACAATTAATTTTCCTAAGTTATCCATTTCCAGTAGGGCTAATCAATTAAAGTATATTGCCTAAGAAAAAGGTGACATGGTAAAGAGAAGGTATTTAAGTTTTGATTTTCACTTGTCTTCATATGTATAAAATGTATCTTATACTTAAGTTTAAGAAAATCAATATTTAATGAATGATTTCAGTTAACTTTATTATTTTCTAGAAATCAGAACAATGCCAAATTGTCCTTGGAAATTGAATTGTGATTATGTTAAAAAAAAGCAGGTACTGACTATGGTTAATTTACCTTTTAGTTGAGTCCATACAATTCAGCAGGAATAAAATGTAAGAGCATATGAGGAACCAAAATGTAATCAAAGGAAAATTCAAAAGTAAGACCACTTTTGAAGTCACCAAATTACAATTGAGCACTATTGTAAGCAACAGAATGAAGAGACATGGATTCTACTGCTGCCATGGTCTCTGCAAATTACTAAATTTTTCTATAACTATTTTGCATTTCTTATGTAGTTTCTTTTTCTGCAATGTTTATCCAATCTTGTGGATGTACTGTCTTCAGCTCTTTGGGAAAGCAAAAGGTTTTACATAGCTTAATTATTTAGACCATTAATTTCTAAACAAACTTAAACTTTTTAATAAATTGAATATAAGTGAAAGTAGGCAAGCAGGATTCCACTCAGCAGCAGATAAAGCTGGGATGAAATGTAGGCAAAAACACACAAGGAAGTCACAGACACATGACAATCGTATTTTTAAAAACCTTATCTTTAGAGAGTTGATTTCTTAGAATATTTAAAACTATGAACTATGATTAGCCTTTTCAGTATTTCAAAATAATTTTGGTAAAATCTTCAGTGATGAGAAAGTATACATTGTATTTGCAGAATTAATATATTCACTGTTCCTCTAAGTGTTCTGGACAACTAAAAGATTAAAATAATTCAATGAAATCTAGATATTCTCTATGTTGAAAAATACACACCTTTGTCCTCATTTTTACTTGAGATTTAATATTACTAATAAAATCTCCAATATAGTTAAGTAATTAACATAAATTAATAGTTTTGTATCCAAAGCAGCCAGAATTTTAGTTATAAGGAATAAAATAGGTTCCCAAAATGTTTTCAGAATAACTAAGATTACAGAGAAGTAATTGGAAAGTAGTTGGATATTCATATTTAGATGAAAATAAAATTTATTTTCACAAGTCAACCCTAACATTTCTGCTTCATATGATTTTTTCAAAACCATTCATATTTGAGCATTAAAGTCTGGTACACAAATATCTGTACGTCTTTTAAAAATAAGGCATGTTCCCACTTGCTTGGAACTTGGTATGAGTTCATGGGACATTTTATTCCAGTACATAAATAGTTACAAACACTCATATATGTTATTCAATTAGTAGTCTGACCCTGTCACAACTATTCATATGCATTACTTTTTAAGAGTGATTCATTCTGGTTCACTTTCACTAAAACTTTTCCTTAAATTTTGCTTCAGTGAAGCATCTACAAACGTTCATGAGTATAATATAAATACTCACAAGAGTACTGGGCCTCATATAGCAGTGTGACTTCTTTGAAATAGGTAAGCAATGCAAATAAAATGAATGTAAATGCAGATAATGTTGCAAACACAGACACAGTTACAGACTCTGCAATAAGTTGCCTTCTAATCACATAACCTTCTCACAGACTTCTCTTTCAAGACATGTAGAGTGCCTGAGAAATGTGCAAAGTCTGTTATTTACTCTTCTGAAAAGCTGCCTTCCATGTGAGGAAGTGACTAATTTTTCATTTCACACTATAAAAGGCGTGAAAAGGCAAAACAGAAGAAGGCTAAGGGTTGTGTGCTCAAAGAAGGAAAGGTGAGTCCTGCTCAAACAAAAGTGAATACATAATGCATATTCAAAAGGAAAATTCAATTGGAAACATTCAAGTGTGATAACAAAATATGAAAGGTCTTTGTGTTAATGCTGAGTCTATTTTGTTTACATGTGGTAGACTTATTTATTGTTAAATTACTAGAACATTACTATCTGAATTACTACATACCACCTCAGAAATTCAAAAAGGTTGTGTGAAGAAAAACATGTCAAAGAGTTAATTTAACCCTTTCCGTTCTCAAAATCTTGCACTTATTCTGTTATTCATCAAATTGCCCCACTCCTTACCATTGTCATGTACTTAATTCTCTCTCTATGTATTATATTTTTTTTCCTATTCACTCAAATATAACCCAATAAATCAATATGCAGGAGAGAATAAAGGAAGTAAAAGGAAAATATACAGAATATGACAAAAACTTAGAAAACAGAGAAGAAACACATACTGATATATCATTAGTTATGAATAAAGTATGTTCATCTTTTCTATGATGAAAGTACTTTTCCTCAGACTTTTGCTAGCAGTCTGTTACAATCTAGATATTTTTTAAGAAGATGAATTACAAACTGGCAACTACTTATATTCTGGTGTAAAAAGCTCCATTATATTTTGTCCAGTTTATTTGGGATTGTTCTCTTTTCATGGGGATATGAGCTTTCCCCAAAGCCAGAATTTATGTCTGTCTTTTCTTTTGTCTCCTAACAAATCCCATCTGTATGTCTTCCCATTAGGATGCAGTCCAGATCATGAAGTTTTCCTTATTTTATTAAAATATTTTCCCATATCTTATCAAAATAGGTATTAAGCAATCTGTCCCTGTAGAGCCTAGCATATATTCTAGAAATATATAACTAAGCACCAAATTCTGTCTGTGAACCTGTTTTTCCTTACAAATCATAAGGAATCCTGTGAGGAGCATTAATGCCATTCAGTAAATCAACGTTGCCGTACACTAAATGTAACCCCTGTGGTCTAAAAGAAATAATGCACCTGTCCAAATTCCCTCACCTGGCTCCAACAGCAAATGATTCATTGAGAAAGTTGGTATTAATAATGTGAGCTGATTTAACTTGTGCTTTCCCTTCAGTTCGTACTGCAGGATAATCAGTTCTAGCATGGAACGATTTATCAGTCCTAGCATGGAACGATTTATCAGTTCCTAAAAGCATAGCACAACTGCATGGGCAGCATCATGCTTCACGGACATGCGAGGGAATAAAGAATGTAATAAAATATCAAATCCAATGCTTGGTTACCTCAGTTATTTACATGATATAATAAATTCAAAAATTCAAAGCATAAAACATTTACAAATGTAAAGTTCCTATTTTGAGGATAATTCTTATAATTTGCAGATATAAGTTCCATTTTAGGAAAACTGGTTCAGATGAATTATTTGCCCCTACTGTCCCATATTTACCATATACAGTCTTATTATGGTTCTTGTGCCTTAGCAAAATGCCATGGAAAACATCTATGAGTTAGTGTAAAGGATTCACAAAACAGAAGACAGTATTTTTGCAGGTATATAATTCTCTTTGAAAATTAAATAGAAACTACGTAGAAATAGCTCTAAAATGCTCATCCAGGTCTCTGTGATGTCTTCGATTTCGTTTCTTCTTCATTTCTTGCATGTGCTTCCACTTTGGGCTGCCCTTGTTTCGTTGTCTCCGTTTTTCCCTGTGCCACATCTGTTCGCAGTACTGGTCAAGGCTGAAGTTTGGGCTGCTAAGGATTTGGATGTAGTCTTTGTATCTCAACCGTGACTCAGCCAATAGATCTTTGACCTGCCCCTCCTCATGCTCTGCCCTCTGGGTATTTTCCATCTGTTCATTCTCAATGACATTCAAAGTCAGCTTCACTATGGTGTGGATAAAAGTGTGCTCCTGTGCTTTGCAGTAATACATCCCAGAGTCCTTCTTCTGCAGACTTCGAATCAGTAGCCCATATTCCGTTTTGATGATTCTTTCATCAGGTTTCAACTGCAGGATAGGAAAAATGTAGGTAATAAATTAGAAACAGAGAAAGCTATGAACAAATGAAAACAGGCTACATAGTTTTACTTAGATGAACCTAAGAGATATATTCCCCATTTTTCTGTCATCAAGCATATTGTAAGCCACAATGAAGAGGGTGAAAAAAATCAGCTAAAGTAGTAGCCCTCAAACCACAGCCTGAATATTTACTATTTGCATCTTATTAAGTCCTAACTGAACCTTTGGAAAACTGTCTCTCTGCAGTGTACTGATAGGAATGAAAAGCTGTGAAAAACAATGAAACTAGAAACTATCAGCTGACTTTCACAGAGATTTCAGATAGAAATTAGTCTACCATGATCACAAATTGGTATCTAATTTCAGAGTGATAATGTAACATTAATAGTTACTGTGTACTAATGGAACTTTAGTGCATGCTACTAAATAATGTAGAAGAAAACAATGAATCCAAGTGAAATTTACTGTTTTCTAGATGTCAACAAAGAAGTGATCTGAATGGCATATGGAAGCTGTAAGTGACTTGTTAAAAGTCAAGTGGAAAGGCATGGATACAGCTTTTGGATGTTAGAGTTGTAACTGAGCAAGACCATAGTTCGAAGGTTAGCAACATTTAAAGCTAAATTTCCCCTATTACTATGAACTGAATTTTGATCCCATGTGTATATGTGATACTTCAGACTATGCCATTTGTGGAAATTTTTGCCATACCTCTGCATACTCTAACAGGGTAATGTGATTTCAAGTGTGAGAAAGCACAATGAACACAAAGACCCTCCTCTGAAATGTGATGCTCTACCCTTTGAAGCGGTGTTACTGAGAGAAAATTCAAATGTTAAGCTTGCCTGGCCCACAATCTGCTGTGAATGGTGAACTATCTTCAGTATACTAGAAACGTGTTTACCAACACAAGAGCCCTGTTTAACATGGAGTACTGTTGAATGGCTAGGCATGAAGTGGAACAACAACAACAACAACAAAGGAGTCTGGAAGATTTCCCAGTTTATGCATCTGCCCCTGTATTGTAGACTTTTAGCTGATGAAAATCAAAGAGGCATAAAGAGAGCTAAATTAAATTTATTCACAGTGGGTGGACTATACTCTGCATCTTTATGTGAAAAATATGTAGGAAAAAAAATCCCTCTAATTCTGGAAATATGAGAAAAGGAAAAGAAACATCTCTGGCTACCAGCCCAGTTAACTAACAAGTATAAGTGAACCACCCTCTGTGCCAGAGAAGTGCAGCTGGCAGGGAACCGTCTGAGGCCAAGGGGAGGTCACAGCTCAGATCTCTGGTTAATGAGGCTGAATGGTCTCCAGGCCTGCCTTTGCTCTGTACTTAGCCCACACCATCAGGGTTTTGTTTGTTTGTTTCCCTTACTTTGTCCATTTGGTGAGTTGGATGTGTTTTCTTTGCCTAATGGATTTATTCTAAAGGCCCAGACATTTTTAAATGCTCTTGTACTATAAACTAACTTAAATTCATTACATTCTCAGGAACCATAGCAGTCTCCTGACTACGATAAATTCGAATTTATATCCATAGAGTCCCAAAGAAGCAATGTGAAACAGAAAAAGCAATCTTGATTTTTAGCACAGTATATACATTTGCTTCTTTGAAATAATGTTAATGTAAGAAATATTTTTTTTAAATGTAAATGTATCTTAGATATCAAAATGCTGGTTCTACAACCTGGATTTGGGTCTGTACCTGCCTTGCTTCTTTATATGACTCATTTATCTTCCCTGTGGGTCTCCCATCTATCAAGTTGGTGGTACAGTGTATGGTGTATTTGGGGGATAAAAAGCAAAGCTCTTTGAAGGTTAAAGTATGAAGTATTATTTGCAACATTATAGACTGCTGTCATGTTGCTTCAGAGATAACATTCTGAAACTTTTGTTCTATAATTCTCCTAATAGGAAATGACCTGAGGTTATTAGCTTGACAAAGTGGGTACCCTCAGTTCCATGTCCTCTCAAGAACACACAACTTGTATTCTTGCTAATGCTTAAGCTGCATTTAATTTGGCTATTAGAGATCATCACAGCTCTGACTCAGTACTTTGTAATTACTATATTGTCCTTCTGTTTAATGTTCCGATAGGAAGATCATGACTTTAACTTCACACATACTGTAGCACACTCCATTATTTTTGCTATTCTTCTTTTGTATCCTGTTTATGCTGCTTTACCATGTGTTCCAGTTCTTTTCCCTCCTTTTCACGCTAGCCCTATTCCAAAAGACTCAAAATTTCATGGCCTCCTGGCATTTCATGATTCTTCACTTTTTCTTGATTCCATGGAATGCTTAATTTGTTCTTTGTTTTTTAACCTAAATCTTGCTTTAACAAATTTGGAGCCTTATGTATTCAACTAAGGTCTCTTGAGATCATTTACCCAATCTTTTTTCCTTTTCTAAACTTTCAAAAATGTGACTAAAATGAAACGGCATATCTAATAAAAAATGTTTTGAATTGATACACTTTGCAGGATTTTCACAACTGTAGATAAAAAAAAATCTGTGACCCGGAAATGAAGTAAGTGAGTAGGTGATTAATGTTTGCCTGCTTAACACTCTTATGCTTATAATGCTTTCATTGCGTGCTGGAGTAGGATGCATTATGCAGGCTGTGTTGCCACAGTGAAATGTCAGCACAGTCAATTTTAGAAAATTCAGCTTCTCTACAAAGAGATAATGCAATCTCTGTCCTCTGATTAAACTCACGGAATTTTCTCCACTCTAGAAGTAATAATCAAAAACTGCTCTACCTTACAAATCAAAAACATTCTGGAACTGGGGTCGACTATCCATTTGCCTAATGTGACCAAGGATAATGTATGTGACATTATTAAATGTAGTTCCTCAGGAAGGGAATTCATTTAAAATGGGAAGAGTAACAGGAACAGGACAAAGGCCATTTAGGTCCTAAGCAGCAGGTAAAGGTCACAGGCTTTATAGCTGATAATAGCACTCTAATGGCAATTCCTTCACAGATAATTCACCTGTCAGTTCTTTAATAGTGAAGGCATCACTCATGTCTTGGAAAGAGACTAGAGCATCAAAAATATCTCCTTTCTCAAAAAAAAAAAAAAAGGAAACTATTACTAGAGGTTAGTTAGGATTAAATAAGGAAGAAAGCAACCAGTGTAAAAAATAAATGTAAAAGCATTGCAAAAACATGTCTGAATTTAAAATAAAGCACTGAAAAGTTTTCAAATTTAATATGGGCGAAAGGAAAAAAACTAGAATGGTTTTATTTCTTGAGAATGCTTATGTAACACTATAGATGATATTTGTTATTATAACACAAAATCAATAATTAATACTTGTAGACAAACAGAAAATGGAAAACTTATTAAAATACTGTTAGGGAACACGGCTTATTATTGTTAAAAAAAGCAAAAGTATATACTATATTAGTTTGATATCTTTGAGTAAATGTAAAAATAAAAGGTAAAGTATAAATATAACAATAAAATAAGTAAAAAAATATATATGCTATCTCTTTGGGTAAGAAGTTTCTAAGCATAAAATTGGAGAACTTACAGAGCTATAAATAAGTAGATTTGCCTATAAGAAATATAAAACTTTTGTAGAAAATTTAGGAATTGTTAGTATTACACAAAAAAGTAACAAAATTAGCTTACTTTTAATGTATCTAACATTAAATTATTACTATCTATAATATATAAGGGCTCGATGAAAGAATATGTAAATGAATCTGTCTGTGTAAACTAAGTAAATGACACACATGACAAGTTACCAAATGCAACTCAAAGTCACAGTTAAGAAACATGACATTTGTTTTCATACACTAATATTCAAGGAAATAAATATTAACACATTTTTAAAAATTGGCAATAGTTTTCTTAAATTGCGATGCACAATTTTATTTCAATTCAGAACATGTTTTAATATGGTGATTTCGATAGGAAATTTGCAAAATGTGTAGAAGTGTAAAGATAACCAATGTCTGCAACTCATTTCTTCTGCTTTTCATAATTTGTCCTAAGAAATAGTTAGAAGAGTAAAGAACAGATTTTAATATAGGGAAGTTCATTACTTATTTTCTTAGAGAAACATGAATAAGTAAAAGTTTAGAGGGCTCATGGATGCCTGTGCTATCAGGGAGATATTTATTAACAACTGAGTGATAATGAAAAGTGCTAATAGTGTAATGATGATACTGGAATAGAATAGACCCCAAAATATTACCTGTGCTTATCTATACTTAGTGTTCTACATATCACAATCTTAAACCATTCATATTGCTTTCATAATAAAAAGATCAAAAACAAAGTAAAGACATAGAATGGAAAAATTCAAATATTTCACATGTGTGTGTGTGTGTGTGTGTGTGTGTGTGTGTGTGTGTGTGTGTGTGTGTGTGTGTTGTTGGAGATTAAACCCAGGGCCTTGTATATGGTAGGCAAGTGGTCTATCACTGAACTACATCCCCAGCCATTGAAGATGTTCTAAAAATATTAAAATCCACAGAGGAAAACCTGTATAATATATGGCAGAAGGTATTGTCTTTTATTTGTTATCATCCCAAAAGTTCAACAGAAGCTTGGACACTGCCGATTAACTTGCTAGTTACAGCATAAACATCATCAATTTCAAGAGCAGCTTTATAAGAAAGATAGCAGATAACTGACTCATGACCTCCCCAACTGCACCCAACTGTGAAACAGCTCAGTAAGGAAATGTTCTCCTCCTGGCAGAGAATAACCTGGTGACAGCCTCTGTGCCACAAGGGATCATGGTCTCTCCCTTGGGCTTGTTAAGAGTGGAAGAAAGATTCCAAACTGTGACCTTACGGATAAGAAGCAAAAGGCATCCTGCTGGGAAAATACGTCCAGTGCAGTCTGGATATTGCCCTTTTCCTCAATTCAGGAAGCAGTATTGCATATCCTGGACAATATGAAACTGCCCATTTGCAAAGACAGATGAAAATACCAGTTGAAATATTACAGCTAATATACTTCTATGTAAAATTCAATAAGTACACTATTTCTGCCCCATTGAAATTCATGGAGCATGGCACCATCAAGACTATATGATACACTGTTAAAAGGTTTATTAAAGTAATGTTGAATTTTTAGGAAGAATAAAATATGTGATTGCAAAGAACCATATGTGAATATAGGTACGTATAGCAGGGCAATGATCTCGAGTAGAGTACCACACTTTTTATTCTAAAAGTCAGATTGAATTTGCTATGGAGGACAAATTATTATGTAAATAATTACATTTAACTAGAAAGAGATCATCAAAGTTTAGTAGGTATAAAACTAAAAACACTGCTTTGTTATATTTAAGATTAAAATATAAAAATGCAAATAAAATCTGCATGTTAAAAAGTACGGATAACATTCTTCCAGTATTTTTTGATAAACAGTTAAATGTTTATGTTTTTTATTTCTATACCATATTGTCATCTGATATTCATTAAAAATGAGACTCTTTAAGATAAATATTCAGTATAGATATGTATCTGCATAATCTTAAAATTTATGGATGATAAAGTCAAGTTTTATAGGAGATGTGACATAAAGAACTGGAGTTATTCCCTCACAGTGGTACTAAGCATGTAGAATCAATGTTTTGATAGAAAAATTTGCATTTGTCCATTGTAAATGAAGGTAGTAATATTAACTTCATCATGTAATGGTGTAATTGTATTTTTAAATCTTTTTCATGATAAAATTTCACTTCTATACTTCCATTTCTCAGTCTCAGCAGGGCTGACATGTGGGATCAAGGAATTCTTCCTTGTAAGAGACTGTGCATTGCAGTTCCTGGGCACTGCCTCTGACCTCTCCCAAGAGACCCAGCCACTCAACACCCACCAAAGTGTCTGCACACATTGCCTAAGCAGGCTTAGGGCAAAACTGCCCAAGGTCAAGATCCATTGTTGTCTGCTAGTGTTTGACTAATTTCATTTGCCATTTTAAATGTTTTTGGATTTATCAAGGAGGTTGATAAAGTGACAGCCTGCTTATGAATCCCTTGCAGTCCAGCCAAAAGCAAGAACAATATTTTCTAAACACATGATCAATGTTATTTCCTGTTCCACAGGAAACATATTTTATTTTATTTATTTTATTAAATAAATTTGTATATTACAAATACTTGATAGAGTATTTGTAATTTCAAATGTAAATTTGTAGTGGCAAGGGACTGTTATATTCTCACATGTGCTTTACCATTTGCCTTTCATAATAACTTTATTTACCTTTTACATCAATTCTTCAGCATGGGAGAATTCATTGTATTATCTCCAGAATTTCATATAGTATCATATTCACCCCTCTACTAAAAAGTGACAGTAATTTTTTAATGTATTTGTTTCTTGTTAGAAAATTCTGGATTCCATTGATCAGTGTCTCAAGAGCATGTTTCAATGTAAGACAGCTATTGTAACACTTGCATTCATTTCATTACTCACTAGTTTCAGAACACTTGTCTGAACATAATTTGGAATTTTGTTGACACTGTAATAATAAAAAATAAGAACAAACAATTCTGCCAAGTGGCTTTTTTTGGTTTGTGTGATTGAAATCAGGGCCTGTACATGCTAGATAAACATTGTACCACTTGAGTCACACCCCCACCCTTCAATTAACCCATTTGTGGTATTCAAATATTATTAATCTAGTATTTCTCATTAAATTCTGTAACATATTTATCTGTGTCACAAAATATCCATCATATACTTCAATCACATGTATGTGTTAGGAAATAGGAAAAAAAAGGTAAAAGAAAATAATAACCATATTACTTTTCTCTCTGTTGATTTAATTTTATACATAAAAGTTGAAATGTACGTATGTCCAAATACTTATCTAATTTGTTTATATGATGAAAACAGAGATATTTATTTTATATAAACTCAACTAAATTGAATACAATGTGAGTTGAAACAGTTTTCTCATCCTTAGGGAACTATCCTGAAATACAGGAAATCCATGAGAAATAAACATTTGGAAAAAAATCATGTAAATTTATTTTACAAATGCAGTCTGGTTTTAAATATATACTAATACATTTGCATCAAATTGGCCTATATCTCAGAGCTATTTTTATGTTTGGTGCCAGTGACAATAAATCATTATTTTCACTTCAACCAAACAATGATGAGAGCACCATATGGCACTAAAAGTTGGGTGACATTCATAACCAAAACCTCAACTTAAATCTTACATTATTTCCCTGAAGGAGAGCATTCCTGGTGATGATAACTCACCTCCTCTCGATGCTCCTCTCCTGACCTCTGGATATACCACTTAATAGATGCTTGTTGAGATTTAGGTATACATTCCAAAAAGGTTGAATTAAATTCAATGCCAAAAATCACCTTTTCATCAGCAGTTTCATGACTAATGCCTAGAAAGCAAACATGGAATAGGAGATTAACCTTGACCTGATTTTAAAAGCAATGGGAAAGCAGACTGATTTAGAACAGATGCCATTGGGAAAGAATTGTATACATTCTTATTAAAGGGAAGGAAATTCATACTATAATATTGTTACCTAAGAGTCAAATGTTATCCAATAGTGTAATTTTTAAAATGCTACATTTGTGTTGCAATTTTAACACATTTCAGTGACATTTTAACAATGTTCAATTGTGTTCTAAAAATAATAATTTGCAAGATCTAACTCTAAACACTGCATATATTTAAGTTGAATAATCTTTTTGCATCTTTTTTCTTTGGTGGAGAGTACTGGGGTTTGAACTCAGGGCCTCATGCTTGCTAGGAAAGCACTGTACCACTTGAGCCACTCTGCCAATCCTCTTTTGGCATCTTTTAATGGTGCCTTTTTGTTTATACAAAATACAAGCAATTTTGCTATTAGTTCTAGAAGAACAATTTACTTTAAAGAGAAATTTTATCTGAGTTGGTCTACAGAACTGAACAGTTAACACGAGAAACTTTGATGTCACAAAAGAAGGTACAGTGGTTTCTGCTTGCTGAAATTCTGTGATCAGAACAAGACATGCTTTAAGACTCAGAATCTGAGCCCTTCCTGTACTATCTACCTTCTGTATTTCCTCACGGAGGTTCTTCAGCTCAGCATGCATTTACTAAGAGATATTTAACAGGAAGCTAAGCAGCAGTGTCTCAGACACCTTATTCTCATAAATTCATGAATTAGCTGCACCATCTGAAACACATTCCATCTGGAGTAGTCAAAGGCTGGGTCCCATGTGGGATCTAAGATCTGTAGCTCAAATTTGATCAAATAAAAAATGACGGCTGCTCTGCCTGGCTCAAACATTCACTTTTTCATCAGATATTCAGATATCTCAATTCTACAGACGGGCCTACTTAGCATTTGAGGTATCAACCAAAGACTAAGGCTTAGGGGACCTGTGGGAATCATAAAGCAAAGCACACACAAGTATCAGCAAATGGCATGAATGTACACGCATCCAACAGTTAGGTTTGATTTTAAGAAACTTATTTGTGTTTTACCTGAAATGATTAAGTGAAGTATACTGTCATCATCATGTATTAACCTCATCTAACTGTACAATGTGTGGATTCTATTTAAAACTTGCAATCTACCAACCATCTCCAGCAACTCAACAGATCACACCTGCGATTTCTACAGTTAATATGGTCCTAAAGCACATATCACTAGTGCCAATCATGGACGAGAAAGGCATGCATTATCATAGTACCAGTACTGTTTTTCTGAGAAAGGGTGTTTGTCAACAGGGCGGAGTTGATGCAAGTTGATTATTAGGTTATAAGGCCAAAGCTCAGAATAAAGTTAGACTGATTCAGCCAAGGGATTGATTAATCAATTAGTGAAATAAACTGGAAAAGTGAAATAAATACTAGCCAATTTTCTGAAATCATTTTTCAAATCAGTAAAAATAGACCCTATGACACAGTCATCACTGCATCAGTTTGACTGGAAATGAATTTATTGTTGATTCCAATAATGTTTGTTTCATTGTCTGAATTTTAAATTTCTTATTTTTAAATTTAAAATAATTACTTGTGCATAAATGCATGTACATAAACATAAATATATAAATACAGTATAATACATTATTCTATTATAATCTAATTTAAACATATAAAAGTTGTGTAGAATAATGTTTTAAAATTGAATGTCCTTATTAAGTGTAAAATAATTTGGAAGAAAATATTTTAATCTTACAGATGGCAGTCAAAAACATTTTTTTTCATAGTTAAACACCTGGAATATTTCTTAATAATAAATATATGACATATCACTAAAGAGCCAGATTAGATACATGCACTGAAATTTTGTGTAATATTACAGTATCATAGCATTTAATAATTAAGTAACAAAGAGAAGAAAGAGGAAAAGAATCATCTAATTGCCAGTTATTTAAGCCGTTATTATCTAGCAAAGTACAGCACATATTTGTGGTGGATTACAAACAACCCTTCTCCTTAACCCTTTTTCGGGGAATACTGGGGTTAGAACTCAGGGCCTTTACCTTAAGCTACAACACCAGCCCTTTTTTGTGAAGGGTTTTTTCAAGATAGGGTCTCATGAACTATTTGCAGCAATACGTGAGGGGCAGGTGATCAAGACTACAAGTCAAGAAGCATCATGCGGACCATAATAAAGGATGTGGATTTTTTACTCCATTTTCTGAGAAGCTAGTGAAACATTTTGAGTAAAGCGGTGATATGATGTGACTGCACTTTTTCTTTTAAAAAGACTACTGGGACCCCTGAGTAAGGTATAGCCTGAAGTACAGTAAGCATGGTAGCAGAGTGACCACAAAAGAGACTACTAAAGAGGAAAAGTGGCTTCATTAGTATGGTCAACCATGAGAGGCAGAGTTTGAACTTCAGGCCAGAAGGACTTGCTGAGAAGTTGGTTATAGGATGTGAAAGAAAGGTAATACTACAGATGAATCTTGACTACTTTTTTGACTTAAATAGATAGGTGAATGGTGGTGCTATTTTTTAATATGGGAAAGTCTTCACAGCAAATAGCTTTAGAGAAGGAAACAAGAATATTTTCTCAGATGTTATTAGAGATGCTAATGAGGCATTCAAGTGTATATCTTGAGTAGTCATACAAGCATTCATATCTGGCCAATGAGAAAGTTCAAACTAGACTATGAATTTGAGAATTGAATAGTCTCTGATGTTATTGAAATGATGATATAATAGAGAGAGCAGACAGAATGGGAAAGTGACTTGGGGTGTTCCAATACTTTGAAGCAATGCAACAGTACTTGGAAATTGGGATAAGAAGAAAGCTGAGAACATGTGGAAGGTACAGTCTGTAAGATAAGAGGCAAACCAGAGGACATAATGCCAAAAAAACTTAAGTGTGTTGTATATCATCTCTCTGAAGACAAAAAGGGTTACTTTGAAGTGTTGACTGATTTTTCTGGCATAATAGTCCCTCCATAGCTGATTCAAGCTACCAATAGTTTAGAACCAGCTCACAAAATTCCTAAATAGTAAGCAGCAGCTTTCATGAAGCCATATGCAGTGTAGTGCTTTGCTTTAGAGAACAAAGTCATTCTAGGAAGACAAAGTTGGTTGGGAATTAAATAAAAGTGAGAGCTGAAAATTGGCCATTAGATTTGGCAAGGAGGAAATTGCTGATGACTTTAACAAGAATGGATTGGGTAGGTGATGCTGATGGTGATTAGAAAAGACTGTGTGCAATGGGTTATAGCAGAAATGGGATGTAGTGAAGTGGAGACGGTAATTGTGAGTACCTTGGGGAGCAAATGTGCTTTATGCCACTTTCTTTATAACACTTATCATCAACTGGACTAGCATTTATTTCATCTGTTTTTATCTTTATTTCTTCTCTCTTCTGTAACATGCATACCAGTATAAATTCCATGAATGCATAGATCATTTTTTTTTCTGTTCGTTGGTATATCCTCAATAAACTTTAAGAGCCCCTGATAAATCTTATATGTATGTGTAAAGAACTGAATACATAGCACATAATAATGACTACTAAATAAAACATTTGGACACAGCAATGAGCCTCTTACATTAGAACGAGAAGGTAAACACGGTATTCTTAGGCCAGAGCTTACTTTCTAGAAGCATGAAATTATGAATAAAAACAACTGCCTTGTTTTCAAATTCAAACACTGCTAGACAACCAGTTATAAACTATGAGAACTGGGTTATTAATATTACTGCTTGGCCAGTTAGAAACTGTGTGGTGAAGCAAAGTTCCTTTCTCCTCCTGAGTTGTGTGAAGCATAAGAAAGTCAAAAGCAAATAAAGTTCTATAGTTTTTTAGATTTTTCTCATTTTCAGACTCATTCACCAGACTCCCTTTCTATTTTCCATGCTGACTCTTTCCCACTCCTTCTTTCATGATCTTCCATTTTATTATTTTTTTTGTCTTAAACAATACAGCCTATGGTGATCTCTCTTTTTGCTAAATTCCCACAGCACTAATCATACCTTATGATGTCTCCCCAAAGAATCATGACCTCTCTAAGGAGTTTCGTTGTCTCATAATATGCTCAAGACAATTATATGTAGATGGAAGTCACTTAAAAATATTTACTGATTGAATAAATACACGTATAAATGAATACAAATAAAGTATAGTCTACCTAAACTTTCTTCTATACTATACGTTTATCAGACTTTTCTGGGAGGTCTCTGAGTTTATTCTAAATGTCCAAATGTTTTTCACTATATCCTGTTTTATCTCTAATAGCAGTTTTCAAACTTTACAAGAATGGATAAGGCAATAAAAAAAGAAGCAAAAGCTATAGTATAGGAATTTTAAAAGACATATGAAACAAATCATGACATGACAAAGGATTATTCACTTAGGCACGTACATGGGGGGTAACTTAGAAAATTTCCTGTTGCTTTTCCAGAACATAAGTTTTGTACAAAATGAGATTTTATATAAGAGATGTTTGGAGTCATATAATAAAAAAGACAAAGAATTGGCTTGTCATTTTAAATGGGAGAAAAAGCATTCAGACCTATACTTACTGTCTTCTATGTCCCAGCACTGGGTGATTGGATCTCCATACTTAACATCTTGGCGTCTAGCTCGTCTATGGAGTGGATATTAAACTGATTAGAACTTCAAGCACAATGATTGGAATATAGAAAAGTTATATCTAACACTAACAATGACAGATGCAGAGCCCTAAGTGTCTTACTGCACAGCTTAAATGCCCACAATACTCCAATCACTCTAACATTAATTTAGATACTAGTGATAGGAAAGCCCTAATAGAACAAATCCTTCTTTTCATTAACATGATCTGAATTTTATTTAACTACTATTGTTTTTCTCTGACTTGACAAAATTTTGAACACAATTGGTTGAATATAAACAGAATGGAGGATTTACATATATGACATGGGAATAGCTATTATTACTCTTTTTTTCTCATTATTAATAATAAAAGAGTTTCAGTGAGCAAAAAAAAAAGTCAAGTACAGGATACCTCATACTATATAGATTCACTGTTACATAGATTTGATTAAACAATAAATTAAACCTTGTCTGAAATAGAAGCACAAGTTTGCCATGGCATGAGTGGCTACATGTTACTTGTATCTACTGAGATGTAGCTCACATCTTTTTCTAGTAGTAGTAGCAATAATAACACCACAATGGCTTCTGCATTATATCTCCTATTTTCCTTAAGAGAAAATAGTAACTATCATATTCAAAAAGAAATGCTACAGTTCTGCTACATCTAAATATGTCTTAAATTCTTGCAATATATTTTCTTTTGCTTCATCCAATTTTACTTTGAATTTGCTTGAACTGATACATAAATACAAAGATTATATATATTAATGTGATTTTTCTATACATGTATACCTTGTGTTGAAACCAAGCTAAACATATCCATCTCCTCAAGCTTTGATCATTTCTTTGTGGTAAAAATTATTCAAAATCCTTTCTCATAGTTTTTTGAAGTATATAGTACATTATTATTATCTATAGTCATCAAACTGTGCAAATTGCACTCTGTAATCTTGTCTAACCATAACTGAGTACCCATGGGCAACCTCTCCTGATCCTTATCCCTCTCCCCACTTTCCCCAGTCTTTGTTGCCACTTTAGGGATCAGAGAGTTAACAATAAACTTTCTCAGATATCTAGGTGCTCCAAGGCTGACCAGATGACAGTCATTGTACACATATTCAGCCTCATATAGACATTATGTTACATGAGAGAAAGCATCACAGTGGCATGTCTGTAAGATCAGAAATGCAGTTTTGGGAAATACAAAAAGAAGAAATTATGATGGCATAAGATACATAAGGTCAAGAATGTTTTAAAATCTTGGCTTCTAAAAGAACAGGGTCAATTAATTAAGCTGAATATTTATTGCCAACTAATGAGCATTCTGGTTTTTTAGCTTCTAGAAAAGCATTCCCCAGACTCACTAAGATATGCATATTCTTGGCTAAAATTACAACAAAATGTTGGCGAGTTTTACTTAAATAATCATATTTACCCACTTGTAATTAATCCAGGGATTTGAGGGAATATAAAATGTGTCTAAATTTCAAACTATATTTGCTGTGTGATACCTAGAATTTTGAATTTGACAGATCAATAAAATTTTTAAAAAATAAGTTTGATATGCTAGTGAAACTAACACATGCTCACTTTTTAGATTTTGTTATTTGTTGTTAAGGACCTAAAAAATAAAACAAATAATGGTATGCACCATTTGCTAACATTTTATCTGAGGAAAATATGCTTTGAATAATAGTGCAGCTATAATCTATATATAAAAGCAATGAGCATAACATATTTAGGTAGCACCAGGTATATTGATAAAATAAGTAAGTTATCAGAGCTTTTTTAAAGTTCTGCACTCTAGAATTTTAGAACATCCATCCTCCTTCAAATGCAATAACATTTTAATTGTAATATTTCTTCCACAGACCAAGTTTTCTACATATCTCTTTAACTGAAACCAGAAGACAAGGCATTCTTGTGAGAAAATCATCTTGTAAGAAGAGGCTTCCTGGTAAGACCACGTGCCTCTTACCTTTTGGAAGTGGGTGCGTATCGAGAGCAGGCATTTCCATCCCAGGCACAGTAGGGGTCTCTGGCAAGACAGCAGTCTGCACAAGCTTTCCCGTAAGTGTCACATCTGTGTAAGGAGAGCTGAACCAATCCATCTTGGGAACCAACGTACAATTGTTGCTGCAAGTCAGGCAAAACAAATGAATTAGAAGCATCTTCAGACTAGTCTTAAGAAATTCCCTTTCTTGAATACCACATAATAACTCTGTCCCCTAAGTGAGAAACATAAGAAAGAGTGAAATAGGCCAATCACTTCTACCCTGGTAGGACTCTTGGGTTTGAAGATGTTGATTCTGAAAGGGACAGTATTCTAAAAGCTACAGTATGGTTGGCAGTAATTTAAGAAGGGCACAAACCCAGCTGCTGACTTAGGAATTAAGATGTCAAATTTTTTCTCAATCGGATAAAATGTACTTTGGTAGATTATATAAAGCACATATACTGGAAACAAAACTGATAGTCTTCCTGTGGCATAACTCTCTACTTGAGAAATGACCTAAAAGAGATTTATGAAACGGGCTTCTGTTTTTAACTAGCTATTTCATTTGCTAATGAAATGCTGATGCCTGAAAGAGATCCCTGTAAGAATGAGAGTAGGTATTTGCTACTATTATGAAAAAAGTTCAAGGCAGGCTTGAGAGAAGCCCTTCACAAATGAAAGGTTTCAAGGATACTGAAAATCCCTGTAAATAAAATTACATTTCAGAAATTATTCCTTAAGTTCATGCACTACCTATAATATGTATTCATTTGTGTGTCTCTGGTAGTGGTTGCAGAGGGGAGGCATAACACAAGTGAATAAGCCTCAGTCTATCTACAAAGACTTCATTCTAAACTCTAGTGGGCAATTCCACAGTGTAAATAAAGGAAAATACCCTTAAAAATATTTATTAGGATAAGTACCATATATGTACTCAACCTACAGAAATCTGTCTTTACCTTCATTGCCATTAAACTCTCAGTTAAGACAGTAAATGCACTGTTTACTATCTGTTTTACTTCATTCTCTATAACATTTGAGATTAGTGACTATACCTCTCCACTTTTCCTGTTCTCCCTCTTTATTTCTACTTAAGACATTCGTCTTTTCATGACTCTTTTCTTTGAATTAAATGCTGATTTCTTCTTTACTATTATTATTTATTTATCATTTTAATGGTGAAAGGTCTCAGAGCTATCTTGAAAGCAATGGAATTATGAGCATAAAGATTCTGTTTAATCTACTCTACCTGACCTACCCTTGGTAAGAAGCACAGTCAAGCATCCATTCACTCAAGATAGAAATCTGGGAGTTGTTCCAGGAATGGGGGAAAAGACAAATAAAGGAGAATGATGGGAGAGGGGGTGAATTCAACTATGATATATTGAAAGAACTTTTGTAAATGTCACAATGTACGACCAGTACAACAATAATATGATAATAATAGTTAAAAAAAAGAAATCTGGGAGTTGACTTAGAGGCTTTTTTTCTTTCACTTTCAATCTGTCTGTGTCATTTCAATCTCTTATAAAAAACTTTAATCTATTTCCTCCTCTCTCTTCCCACATACTTTGTTTTGGTCCTTATCATTTTTTACTGGATTATTTGAAAGGCTCTTAACTATTCTGCTGATTTCAGGCTTCTTTTCCTGCAAACCCCACCTCTGAGAAGGACACAATCCATCTTCCACACTGTCAAACCAGACAGATCATTCTTACAAAAAAAAAAAAAATCTAAGGCTAGGGCTGGAGCTCAGTGGTAGAGCTCTTGACTAGCATGTGCTAAGGTCCTCGTTTCAATCCTGAGCACTGAAAAAACAAAACAAGAAAACTTTTCATGACACCTCTTTCTTAAAATCTTTAAAGGTTTTCATTGTCCTTAAAATAAGTTGTTAAACATCTGAGGAGGACATAAGGATGTGCCTTATTTTATTGTCATTTGCCTGTCCAGGTTCATTTCTAACCTTCTGTTCTCTAGAAATCACATGTGTCCTTTGCCTAAGTGTACCCAAACTTACTACAAAAAAGCTGTGGTGTCTTATTCTTCACATCTTTGCAAATGTATTTCCCCTTCACTTCTCATCCCCTTTTTAATTTATCTGATTAATTACAACATCCTTCATGGCTCTGTTTCTAGCTAACTTTCTCTACTCTTTCTGTTATGTATTTCCATCATTACTTCAAAATTTTTAGTATGCTTCTTTTCCTCTCAGCTCTACCATGAACTTCTAGAAGTGAATACTTAAGTCATTCATTCATCTCTGCACCATTAAAGCACAGTACTTGCTTCAAGATATGAATGCCGAGGTCTGTGGCATGACTCATTTGCTAGAGTTCTTGTCTAGCAAGCATGAGTCCCAAGTCCAAGCCTCAATATCACCCCCCAAAAATGTTGAATGAATGAACAAATTAATGGAAAAGACCTGAAGAAGAAACTTACTGAGTTTTTTTCTCTAATAATTACTCTGTCATACTAGGCAGAATAGATTCAGACAATTTTAACAATGCCTTGGTGGTGAACATATATTACTGTATTCTTTTAAAACTTGAGGGTGTACATAGAAATGGAAATGCAAGTCTTAATCTCTTAAATCAGTTGGGATTTGAAGTATTATACCAGGAAACTATGAAATCACATTATACATTATCATCATTATATTAGTTATCACTTTCTTTACATTTACTGTTGTAAGTTAAAAGCATGCAGAATTGCATTTAAAATCACGCACAAAAAGCCAAAGAACCTGTTTTTCTCACTTATGATACATCACATCTATAATCCTAGCACTCAAGAAGCTGAGGTAGAGCGAGGGTCATGAGTTAGAGACTAACCTGGGTTACATAGTGAGTATGAATGTGACTGGCTGATAGAGTGCTTGTCTAGCATGTGTACTGTCCTGGGTTCAATCGCAAGCACCTTAAAAATAAATCTAAATTCACAACAAACAAAGGAGAGTTTTCTAACTTTCCCGTTGAAGAAATTGATTTTGAGAGTTAGATACTGAGTAGTGTGCTGAAGGTTGACTGTTGGGGTATTTGCCAACGCAGTCCATATTCTAACTCCAAGGCCTCCAAATTTAAAACCCTTTTAAATAGTTAGGATTGGTATCTTGCATATAATTCTATGACTTAGAAGGACACCATTATGAGAACAGAAACTGGCCCAATTTTTAAAAGCAAACACCTATTTATTATTTTGATGTTAATTTTTACACAAATCTTAGGAAATACCTGCTTCAGGGATAACTCCATGTTCAAGATGGTTGTGGGGTGCTGAAAATAGAAGTTACACATCAATAAGGAAAATCAGTAACAGGCATTGGTATTAACCAGTATGCTGTTTTATCTTATACAAAAGATTACTGAAGTAAATGTCCATGCTCTATTACAGAGTAGAGAAAAGGATATTATTCTACCTTAATACAAATGATGAAAATAGCTATCTTAAAATTATCTTATTAGAGAAAAACTACCAACCTCCATGAGGAAACACTCTGTATTGAAAATTGTTCCCACTTACTGACAAGTTTTCTCCTTGTTCTAATTCTGCTTATCTTAACTGCTTCCATATAATTCCAACTAGTGTTGACAAGAACATCTCCATAATTATTTATTACCTTTTTCTGCTCTTACTTAGATAGTGATTCAAAACCTTGTTTGAGTAGCAGAGTTTGGAAAGTTGTAGTGCTTCTGTGGATAACCATATTCTTTATAGAATGCTACAAGATATCAATGTACATGGTTTCATGATGTATGTAGTTTCATATGTAGAAAACATGGCTCCATGCATGCAAGGTAAATCTGAAGCATGACCATAAAAACTGCCAAATGAAAAAGAGCAGTATTTCTCTAAAAAATATTTCATCTATGTGTCATTTTCCTATGACTTATTCATTTCACACCAGTATTTAGTTAATTAACCCGCAGTAGCAGATGTCAAATTTTTAAAAATTCATAAAAGAAGAAATTTAAGGAGAAAATTCTATATAACTTTCTTGTTCTTAGTTTTTAAAAATGGCCAAATTCACTAAATTACATATATCAGTTATGTGCAGTTTTTTAAAAAATTATGAATTCTACCATAATAAAACTTTTTTTAAAAAAGCAAGAGGCTGGGAATGTAGCTCAGTGGTGGAACATTTGCCTAGCATAAAAAAGGCCCTGGGTTCCATCCCTATTCAGCACTACAAAAAAAAAAAAAAAAAGAAGGAGAAACAAAAGGAGAAAAAAATATGGCCATTGTTTAATCGTAACAGTTAAGCCACCAATTCCTCTTGACCACTGTCTTACAATTGAATGACACCTGTTCTAATGTACTTACGTGTGTTAAGAGCACTTTGTTTAAGCCTCTAGTTTCATCCTTGTGTTTGACACCACTTTTCCCTCAGGAACCTCCCAAGATTTTGTTTTGGTTAAGGCCAGATAGTAGGTCTTGTTCTAGTTAACTTCTTGACCACTATCATTATCACAATATAAACAGGATCCTGTAGAATCCGGCATGTTAATTAATTTGAGCCTGTCACTGTGGAGGTCTCTACTCTCTTTGAAGGCAATAGATGTTTACCTGGAAACCGTTTTCAAAAAACTGCCTCAACAAAAAAGTAGATGTTATAAAAAATATAGCATATTTTCAAAAAGCTTTTCTAAGAAGTGTTATTTAATTCCTAATATTATTTTGGGAAACAATTTTAAATTAAATTTCATTGAGGTTCTATGAATGACATAATTCAAATTTATTGTTAAAAACCAAAGACATTTCCAGAATCTGGGGAACTTTCCTTCCAGATATGCTAACTCTTTTTGAAGGTGAGAGTCATTTAGCATACAAATCACCCCAACCCCTTTTTGTGAATTTCCTTACAGAGAAGCAGGGACACATGCTTTATTATGCTCTTCCAGTGTTCTCAAATTCAATTGGGGAAGGATTGCAAAGTCAAATTTATAAAGCAGAAAAGCATCTGGATAGTAAAGGAGACCCCAGGCTTTCATTTTATGTGGCAATTTGCCTGAGTGTATGCTTAGAGAATGTAGTAATGAGAGCCAATCCTAGGCGCTCTCAAGTCAGTGAGAGAAGAAGGTGAGTCCCATTCTTAAAAACTGTTTCCAATGCTTAGGGAAAAGAATAATAAGGAAAGTAATTTCAAAGAGTTGTCTAGGAAAAGTAAGGATGTATTAGACAAGTGTGCCCTCTAACAAGGACTACACAGTCTCACTATCTCTCCTAGAACTCTCTCTGTACTAAAACTTACCTTGAATACCTGTAACTCCTCTAGTACAACCTCTTCCATGTTCCACTTCTCCTTTGAAATGCTGACAACTTTTAGGACTGTTCCAATGTCTGAAAAAGATAGAGAATTCATAATCCTGCTGTTTCTATTTCAATAGTTAGTTGCAAGCATATTCCTAGAAATCTTTGTATCGTCTCCCTCACTTACTGTTTTTTAAGAAATCTGTTTACATGAAGCATGTAGGAAATGAAGCTTGATGTATATGATTTTTGTTGATCTAGAATGTTATGGCTTTTAGCTAGTAGTATAGGTATTTATAAAGAGAATATTAAAAGCTACATACTCAGGGTATATGCACAATAAAAAATATGTATCTGACATATATTGATTGAAATAATATAGGTGAAACAAATTTGGGGTCTTATTTTTAAGCATTAAAATTTATTAAAATAATGAATTGACTATATTTAGCCATGCAAAATGCTTATTCAATCCTTATATTCAATTCACCATAAATCACTTACCTAATCTATGTGGGGTAAAACAGAAATCGATGATTAGAAATTATATCTTAAGTTCATCAACTTATAGCTCAGGTTCAAAAGGTGGCATACTAAATACTTTGTAATTAATTTATTCAAAATAGATGTCTTTGAGCACTGCATTTGGAGTATAAGGACATAGTAAGGTTCAGATAAGCACAAAATAACCTGAATTACTTTATTTTTCAATGACTCTAGGATGTTTGAAACATATTAAATATACATTTCTAAATGACAAGTTGACTATTTTAGCATCACCATAATGTTCTCAGTAAAAGTTAGGTAGTACCACCTAGTGGCTGAATAACTTTTATGATAGTGAACTGTTAAAGACCTAGAAATGAATTTTGGCTGGATAATGCAAATTAAATGCAAAACTCATGAGAATTATGAAGATTCATTACTTAAAGTTCTGACCCTTAAATAGCCATCTTTGTAATCTTGTGAAGTTCCTTATTTATCTTGCCATGTGTAACACAATCAGGTTTGACAACTAATTGAAGACTGATTTATCTCACACAAGCTTCACAGTAAACCTAAGTTCTGCAAAACTGTTGTGTGACTTGAAAGTAGAATAATTTTAAAATTGTCTTACATTCTTAAAAACCAAAATGTCTTTCTAAAAAACCCACTAATTTCTACTTCTTTTTGAAATGTTCAGTCCATTAGGTGACACCAGTTATCTAGGTTGCAATGTTTTGTTTAAATGGTGCATACAATCTTTACTGCCACTAGAATCCACACTAGAAAAGTATTATGAATCTGGTGAATTTATATATATATATATATAAAACAGAATATATATATATATATATATTCTTTTTCTTTTTTGGGGGGGTACTGGGGCTTGAATTCAGGGCCTTCAATCTGAGCCACTCAACCAGCCTAATTTTTTGTGATAGGGTTTTTCAAGGTAGGGTTTCGTGAACTATTTGCCTGGGTTAACTTCAAACTGTGATCCTCCTGTTCTCTGCCGCCTGAGTAGCTAGGATTATAGGTGTGAGCCACCAGTGCCCGACCTATTTTGTTTTTTTGAGAAAGGGCCTCATATAGAGCAAATTGGCCTCAAAAATCACAATTCCTCCTGCCTCAGCCTCCAGAGTGCGGGGATTACAGGTGTATACCACCACATCAACATCTAGGTAAAACATAAATTAATCATTTTATAATTACAAAGTAGGCAGAAAAAATTAATAGGTTTCAATAGCAAGAATCCATAAAATTCATTTTTATCAATTAAATTCAAGTACAGGAACAATAATCTACAAGAAGTTTTATTTAACTGTCTTTACAAAGTACTGCTTAATGTTTTTGAAAAGCTATATTAAGTCAACTAAGTCAGTGATTCTCAAAATCAGGTGAAGGGAACTTTGGGGTAGAGCTTATCAAATACCCTATAGAGAGAGAATGGTGGAATTTGACAAAAACACTGCTTAGCTTTACTTTAATTTTAGTACACAGCATTCAACAAATATGTACTGAACATTTAATCTACAGAAAACCAATTATAGTCCCAGTAAACACGTGTATTTTGAAATGTCCAATAGTATGAGAGATATTTATGATTATCAATTAAGAGTCTTTCTTAATTGTAAGAAACACTGACAAAGTATTAGCTAATAATTGTTCACTTTGATTTGGACCAATCAATATTTTTGAAATTTTTGTTTTCTTTATCGAATAATGAAACATTCCTTTAAGAGAAAGCATAGTCTAGCTTGAACTCACCTGTTCCAAGAAACATTACATCATACTGGCCATCTTCTGCGATGACGTGGTCCACCACTATCTGTGTCAGTCTGTAATCCACATTGATTCGCTTGAAGGTTGGTCCTCCCGCCACGGGGTACACGGCCTTGTACATCACTGGGTGCCGTTTTATGAAACTGATGACATCGTCAGGAAAGTCTCGGGTGGACTTAATCAATGGGTCATAGGTTTTGCTTGGACACTGAAAAGAAATGGGACAGGAGTAAAAACATTGCTTATGCACCTGAGAAATTTACAATTAATTACAATAAAGTTTTTAAGTCATGTGGGTAATACCAAAAACTAGACAACAGAGTCCACGGAATCGACATGCATGTAAATAAATGCAGTGTATCTCCAATATAAATACTGATTTTCTCACTCAAAATATTTGAAATTACATATTTTTCTCTGTATTTCCTAAAGTTTCCCTGAAATATTTTCTTACAGTTACTGTTTCTTATAAAGATTTCTAATGAAGACATTTGAAATTTAAGTTGAAATTCTTGTTAAAAAGCTGATATGTAAACATGAGAATGTATGAGAAAACATTGTCAATTACCTTTGAGTAAATTAAGATTTCAGTTTTCTTGAAACTATGTTGATTAAAAATAAAATGGAACAAATCAGCAGGTGACAAAAATTACTTTCAAAAGTTTTAATAGTATGAAATTGTAATTATGTAATTTTATAATAACTGGTGTGAAAATTGACTGTGAAGAATTCAATAGCTGTACCCCTACAGGATCCATGAAGAAAACCACTGGGAATTTTTTATTTCTGTCTAAAATTTCATCCTCTGTCAACCAAATAAATAGTTGGCAAAACCTGCCCCCTGGTGGTCAAAATTAAAAGTTCAAATAAGAACAAATGTATTTGATGTGCCTTTGTCTACAAATAAAGAAGGAATCACTTTACAACTTGACTTTTTTTTTTTTCAGGAAATATATCCTCTCTGATACCCTAAATCTCATTTATGTTTTAAAATATCTTAACCTAGGAAGCTATTTCATATAAAACAATACTCTCATCACATTGGAATTCTTAATGGACTAATAAATTCTTTTGGAGTGGAAAACTATAGTTAACTAATGCAGATATATAGAAGAGAATGAGTGACACTAGAGAAAGTTACCAATAAAATGTTTCCCTTATCTTTTTGATGATTTGGAAAAGAGTGTCCACTAAACTGAGCTAAGTACTAATTAGAATCATGTCAGTGCTCCAAAATCAACTATACTTCTCAAAGTACTCAAGTAGGTCATTCTTAGGGCATTAAAGATCCTGAAGTTAGTGATAATATATGACCTGGACTCCAATTTTATACTAATAGAATCGTAATTTCTCATGTATAAGAATTATCAAAGAAGTTGCACTAAAAAATAAATCCCTTAAAGATTTTTTTAAATTAATTTAAGAGTATATATCTTTCACAAAAATCTTGTAAATCTGCCATTTAAGAAATGTATCATTTCTTGATATCTATTTATTTGACCCAGGACTGGATCAAACAGTTTGGAAATGTCCTACCTCATTAGCCATTTGGTATTTATTTAGCAAATCCTTAAAGGGATACCGGTTTAAAGAATGAAATCTATACATTCAGTCATTGTTTCTACCACTTCAGCAAGTGGAATCTGTCAACTTGATAATGGAAGGAACCCTATGATAAGTAGATTAAGCAGAGACTCCAAATCGATATGGAGCTCAGATAATACAAAGCTCTTGCCGAATTACAGGCTGCATGTTTGAGGCTCAGTAGAACTCCATTCATTGCAGGCTTGTATCTTAGAATGCCTGTGGTTCAATCTGGTTACTCTGTCATTAAAAATTAAAGCAAAAGCAAGATTGTGCCTGCATTACATTTTTAAAAGGGTCCTCAATCCTACTTAAGAAAAAATGTCTTTTGAATAGAGCTGTAGTTATGCAGAAGCCAGAATTTCCAAAGAAATAGTATTATGACATTCTAGCCACAATTTTCATATCAAGTTTTAAAACAATTGGATATTTTAATATAAGAAAGTATAGTCAAAAGAACATTTGCAAAGAAATAAATATGACAATTTTCCTCATTGTTCACCTCTGACAAAAAGGTGTAGCAATAAAAACCTAAGAAAAAAGAAGAAAAGGAAAACCTGGTTTCTATTGACTATTATAGAATGATCTTTGAAAATACATTTTTCCTCATGGCATGCTGCCAGTGTTTGGATAAGATCCTTATCCTCTCTGTTGCTACGAGTGATCTCTCAGGTCCACATCACTATGCTTGTACAAATGAAAGTGATTTGGGAGAGTTACTCCCTGAGGTTCAAGATAGGACACTATGGACCAAATATTGCTATTTTAATACATTCAATCCAGTGGAATTTTTACTTTGATATCATATAGTTGAGCGGAACACAGATCTAAAAATAACTGAGGTGCTGAACAATGTATTCAGGTAAGGGTAAAGTAAGAATAAAAAAATCTTATAATGAAAAAATAAAAATTATAAAGACATGCTATATCTAAAATAAAAGTCATACTCATTTATTTTTCTTCAAAAACTTCTAGAAAAAAATTTCTTTTGCAGCTATTATATTCCAGGTATTAACAGTCTCTTGAGGTTTTCTGGGTATGTACATCCCTCTAGTTTCTACTTATGAACACATTCCACCTGAATATTCCATAGGGTGTCTTTCATTTCCTTCTGCAGGTTTCTGACATTGGTTGACCTTCAGTCATGTTAGCTATTGTGAATGTAGGAATTGATTCAGGCAACTTATCTGTGTTTCTGCCGAGTGTCTTGAAAAACTCTTAGGCAATTTAACATTTGAGGAGAGAAAAAAAGAACACAAAGCTATTAGCCAAACTTTAAAATGTTAGTATCTTGTTGGAAACACTAATACCATCACAAGAATTGATGAGAGAAGGAGACTTGCCTAGGCAAACCCTGGATGAAAGGGTAAACCCCACAGCAACAAGCGTTTGTTCAGCGCTTGCCTCCATGAAGGCCTGCCACAGCTGGCTAGGTGTGATCCCGTACGCTTGGCAGACCGTGTGTTTGTGTAGGCCCTTCAGGAGTGCAGTGGGAAGCAATGGATAAGAAGAGAAGAAAAATGGTTTTTATCCAACGCAAGAACTTTGCCCTCTTGGCAAGGCACCAGACAGCTGTTAGAAGTTTTCTCCCCTTACTGCTGCAGGCTGTTCTCTACAGGCTGCAGGGCCCTTTCAAACAAATCACAGGAATGAGCAGTGGAAGGGAGGACCCTGTACCAGGAACCCCTGAATCAAGCTTTCATTTTCAGCAAACATGGAGAAATAAACAGAATATTTTATGAAAGATATGTAAAGTAAGCTTTGTTTTTATTTTTAATGAAAATGTAATAAATGCTACCCATCTCCCTGATTATCTAAGTGCCAGCCTATAGCAGATATAGGCAAGGAAATATCCTGTATTAGATATCAGAGATGGAAAGGTCTTTCTCTCTCTCTCACTTTCTCACTTTTTCTCTTTCTTAAGATTTTCTTTCTCTTATAGGAATTTCTATGCCAAAGAAATAAAAACATTATTGAACACAGTAAGTAGCTTGGGATTTGGACAACCCCATTTTAAAAACTAATGTTGCCTTTATAGAAAAACACCTGAAAGACAGTTGGAAAGGATAATTCATTTTGGAAATGATCTGCCTCTCAGTGTCCTAGAGAAACACAGCCTACATCTAGGTACGAGGGAGTGGTAATGATGTCTCCTCATACACCTTCAGTGTAATCAATTTTGGGTACATGGAGTCAGGATGCTCAGATTCTACTCCTGTCTCTGCTTCTCTCTTCTAGAACTAAAATCTTAGAAGGAAAGGAATTAAGAGAAATGGCCATTAATTTAGAGAGGTGGTGACAAAGTAACAGTTTGTTATCCAATAAAGTAGATGGCAACAAATATTAGAGAGAAATTAAACTGAAGTCATTGTGATAGAGAGGCATGAGTGAACCAGTCATGCATAAAACATGATTCCCCTATTTTAAAAAATATAGAGATTTTAAATTAATTAGGAAAGGTCTAGTTCAATCATTAACAATAATACACTGTTAATCATAGTCTTCAGGTGCACAAATGAGACAATGTGATAAATCTTCCACCATACTCCATACTTATTAGTCTGCTATTTTTATCACAGTCTAACACTATACAAATTAAGGGGAAGTTTTATCAGGCATGGAGGCAGGTGCCTGTAATTCCAGTGACCCAGGAGGCAGAGATTGGGAGGATCATAGTTTGAGGCAAGTCCAGCCAAAAAACTTAGCAAGACCCCCCGCCCTCAACCAACAAAGCTTGGCAAGGTGGTGCACACCTGTCATTCTCACCTACACAGGAGATGTAATGAGAAGGATCATGGTCCAGGCCACCTGGGCAAAAACATGGGACCCTATTAGAAAAATTAACTAAAACTAAAAGGCTGGGGCCATGACTCAGTGGTAGAGGACCATGAGTTCTAACCTCAGTGCCACCAAAAAAGAAAAAAAAAAGAAATTTTACATACTATTTTTGAATTATGTATTATTCTTTGTCCATTTATACTTACATTTGAAAGATAAGCATCTGTTTTCTATAGCATAAAGGACAGCACAATTATGATCTATCTTCTCATAATTTTAGAGTTTCATTAATTTAATAAACACATGAAATTTTAGGAGCCACCAGTTCAATTTTAGGAGTGTATAATGGAGCTATACTAATAGATAAGGTGGAATCTAAGCTCTCAGAGACAATGGTGCCCAAAGAGCTTTGAAATTGTGGGCTCTATGTTCACCTCAATCTCCAGCTGTTGTGAACATAAACCAATGTAAAGTTTGGAATTTGTCTACAAAAATTCTAATTCTATTTGAGGTATCATTACAAATACATCTGATCTGCTTTATAGCTGGAGATACAGAATGTTGACTCTCTATTGTTATTTATGATCTGATACCTCCAGGATTCTCTTTTCTGAAGCAAGCTCACAAACAGATTTCAGAGATGCCTCAGTGAGGCCCCAATACATTAAACTATAAAAGATCTTTCTAGAACATGTAGATATGCCAGGCCCCAGGGCTGGTCCATGGAAAATAAACATGGAAGGATGGACTTTCCAGTGGACCTGAAATCAAAGAGCCTCATGATTTGTCAATGTTTATATGATTTTAAAAAGTCTAACTGGGCATGGTGGTACTCAGGAGGCTGAG